CCCAGTGAGACGTGTCCAGAACACCTCACCAAGGAGGCATCCAGGAGGCATCCTAACCAGATGAATCACCTCAACTGGCTCGTCTCGACATAGAGGAGCAGCGGCTCTACTCTGAGACCCTCCCGTAAGACTGAGCTTCTCACCCTATCTCTAAGGGAGTGTCCAGAAACCCTGTGAAGGAAACTCATTCCAGCCACTTGTAAACGCAATCTCGTTCTTTCGGTCACTACCCAAAGTTCGTGACCATAGATGAGGGTAGGAATGTGGACCAACCAGTAAACTGAGAGCTTTGCCTTCTGTCTCAGCTCCCTCTTCACCATGACAGACTGGTATGGTGCCCGCATCACTGCAGATGCAGCACCAATCCGCYTGTCGATCTCCCGCTCAATTCTTCCCTCATTCGTGGACAAGACCCCAAGATACTTAAACTGCTCCACTTGGGGCAGGATCTCCTACCTGACCCGGAGACGGCAGGCTACCACTTTCTGGCTCAAGACCATGGTTTCGGATTTGGAGGCACCGATCCTCATCCCGTCCGCTTCACACTTGGCTGCGAACCACTCCAGCGAGAGCTGGAGATCACGATCTGCGCCTAGAAATTCTATCCATAAAAGTTATGAATAGAATCAGTCCAAATTCTTTAGTAAGAGCATAAAATCAGCAATGAGAATATCAAGCGTAAAAAAACTGATTAAGACATTGAATTGAAGCATGATAAAATGACAAACGGTGTTGATAAAATGATAAGACAATATTTACATATTCACAAGAGAAGTACAAGATGTCGGCAGCAGGGATTTAGTGTTGACAGGTCTGGGTACTAATCAAATATTGTTTAAGATGGGCACGGAATATTTTAAATGCVTTACTGCCTCTGATTGTTGTTGGAATGGTATTTCATTCATGAGAAGCTTTAACAGAGAAAGCAGACTGACTAAAAGCACTTTTTTTCTAAGTGGGCTAATGCAATCACCCATGGATATTCCTCGAGTGATTCTGTGGGTGGAGGTTCTGAAACTGACAAAATCACTTAAGAGGTGGGGCCATCCTGTGTATGATTTTGTATGTCTGAYAGGCATTTATGTACCTAATGAGATTGTCCCAACTTCGAAGACTATATTTTCCTAAAATGGAGCAGTGCTGAAAGTGTTTAGGTTTCTTGTCAAGTACTTTGAGTTTTTGCTTGTACAGAGACTGTAACGGTTTCAGAATGGTGGAGTTAGTCAGAGACCAGCTTCTTAGACAATATGTGAGTTGAAAGAAAATCATTGAGTGCATGAATGTTGTAGCAGCTTGAATGGACATTGAATTTCTAATAAATTGGAAGTTAGCTAAGAAAAAATTAGACTTTTTTTACA